CGATGCGATGATATCAGTTCTGCGCAGTTCGCGCTCACCAAGCCTCTTCCCCCCGGACCTCTGAGGTGTTCAGACGTGTACAAAAAGTATTACCGTATTACTATTATTTTAAATAAAGATTAATTAAAGTTATCTGCCAAAATTCGCGACATAAAAATAGGAGTACAGGAAATTGAAGAGCTATCAGTGACCGGCCGCTCCTAGTCCTCCGCTGCAGTGACACCTCTCGCAGCCCTAACGGCTACTCGTTGCCGCGAATCACCGCCCATCGCCGCCTATGCACTAACTACGAGGGCAGTGCGACGTACGGTGAATAAGCTGTGCATGCTTTGGTCACCCTACGATACGTCTTCGTGGGAGATATGTAGCAGTACTCCTAGTACATTACCTTAACAAGCAATCGGTGTAACTTCACAGCTACATACTCACTTAAAGTGATGGTTCGTGTTCTCCTGGTATTTTGCTATACGAACATTCATATTGACCTATTGTTATTTAATAATATTTTAATAAAATGCCTTTGAAACGCACCCCACCACAAAACGTACATGCATCGGAGACTGATTCAGAGAGCGTAGGTGGAAGTGTATCTGACCTACAAAAAGCAGAAAGCAACATCAATGTAAGCGTTGATCGCATGAAGAGAAAAAGGGAAAATGAATTACATAGTTTTATGCAAGAGGTGCGTAGTATGGTTTCCAAGTTTGTCTTCGATCAAACAAATAAATTACAAGTCTTAGAGTCATCATTAAGTGAAATAAAATCGCAAAACAGTACATTACAGTTATGATTGGAAACATTATCTTACAAATATGATGAATTTCAAAAAGAAATAGAAAATTTAAGGAAAGAAAGGAAGGAGCACATCTCTTATATAAAACAGCTCGAAATTTAATTGAAAATCTAGAAAGACACACTCGTTCAACAAAGCTTGAGATTAGAAATGTACCAAAATTGCTAAATGAAAACAAATAGGAACTTACAAATGCAGTTAAAACATTGGAAATATATTAAATTTGCAAATACAGACCGGGGATATAAAAGATATATATCGAGCCTCTGCAAAACCCAATGCCTTAAAACCAATAGTAGTCGACTTTAACACCGTACTGATGAAGGAAAATATTATAAAAACCCTTAAAAAACTTACACTAAAAGAGAAGAATGAAAAATTAAATACAAAAATATTTGGTTTAGATAGTTCTCCTAAACAAATATATATCTTGGAGGCTCTTACTCCAAAACTCCAAAAGGAAGGCGACTATTTCTCTTGGAGAGGGACTTCGCAAAAACAAATGAATTTTCTTACTGTTGGACATCTTACGGTAAAATTTATTTACGGAAGACTGCCATCAATTCGTATCGAAGAAGAAGGAGACTTCACAAAAATAAAAGAGAAAACTGCCTTGTGACTACCTACTAGATTTTATTATTTATTTTAATTAATTATTTCAAACGTTTTAAATACTATATAAATCATATCTGCATGCTCCTTTATGATCCATTACTCCATATTTTATTTAGGCATAGTGTATCAAATTTTCGAATAATTAATCATAATCATGTAAACACTTCACACAAAACTCTTTATACTTCAGAAATTCAAAACTTTACTCATATATTACTATATTTTTATGAACTATTTTATTATGAGATTTTATGTATCCTGTTTGTATCAGTTATACCCAATTTACACTTGTCACTTAAACTCTATGATAACATAATTTATTACATAACACACACAATCAATTATAATCATGGTTTCACTAGTAATCTACGAGCACTCTTTTGAATGAAAGCGAAAACCTACAATGCCATATGCCAAAAATTTACAATTTATGTAGATGGTTAACTTACCTGAAGTACTGTTGTTACATATATATTAGATTAAATTATTTTATCACGTGTATCATCGAACACCACGTGCAATACTTACAAATATAAACAATACACTTTTCTTTGGTATTAATTTTAGTAAATTAATTGTAATAGAGAATTTTTATTATGAGTTGTACCTGTTTTTGATGAACAAAAGACGATACTCTTCAATAACTTATTGTTGCGTTTACATACATGGGTCTTATTTTATAAATGTATGTTGTCGCATAATAATTAAAAAAGCAATTACATCTTCTGAAATACTAATACTTATAAGAAGGAACGTTAAAGTAATATTCTGTAATAATATAGAGCCGTGGTAGCTCAGATGGTTAACGCTCGCTGTAAATATAACATAACGCGAGTAACCCGGGTTCGAACCCCGCCGGCACCAATGAAATTGTTAATTGCAATTTTAAGTACTGATTTACCACGTGCTCGGCGATGAAGGAAAACATCGTGAGGAAACCTGCATGTCTGAGGAATAAGAAAAAAAATATTTCGAAGACATGTGAAGTTCGCCAACACGCATTGGGGCAGCGCGGCGGACACTTCCTTGCCCTAAAACCCCCTCAGAAATGAGGGGAGGCCTGTGCCCAGCAGTGGGACGTATATAGGCTGTAACTTTACTTTACTTTAACTTTACTGTAATAATATATGTCTATAGCGGTTACTTTATTAAAAGATAATATTCTGCAAGTACTAGACCAAACTGGAATAATAAATTGTTATAGATCTGATAATCCGTCGAAATGCTTAGAAACACTGTCCGTTGCTTGTCCAGAACAAAACAAACGGTCCATATGTATTGTTTCCATCAGCATACGCAGACTGTAAATTGTAACTTGGAGATGTTTGCATTATACCTAAGCCAATTTGATATAAATATAGATTAACAGAATGCTGGTCTCACCAGGACTATGAGCCTCCAACACTGGCCGGGTACAATGTTGTAGTACTTGTAATACGGCAATTTCTCGACGGAGTTCGGCCTCCTGGTGAAGAATTCTGGCTACTAGGTTGTGTCTATGCAAGTACTCAGAGTAAGAAAGCGCCGAACAACCGGATATAACATGCCTAAGTGACTCACCGGGATGGCGACAAGCTCGACAGATCTCGACGGTGCCATCCTTTAGGATGTATCTCCGATAGTTGTTGGTCTTAATATCCTGATTTTGTATTGCACAGACAAAACCCTCGGTTTCCCCGAAGAGGTCTTGCCATTGCTCGTTGGCTAAGGATAGAGGGGTAAGTCCCTTATCACAAGAAATGACGTCCTTATAGAATGGATCATCCGATCTCGCCAGGAAGTAATCGCGGAGGCTGCACACTTCGCGATTATGTATGGTGAGCGCGCTCAGGAAGCCACGCCCACCATGCTTTCGCGGCAAGTACAGCCTCATTACCGACGATCTCGGATGATGCATCCTATGGGACGTCGTGGTAGTGCGGACTTTTCTATCCAGGGCGTTAAGTTCAGTCTGAGTTCACCTGAGTATGCCAAAGGTATACACGAGGACAGGCATGACCCAGCCGTTATAAGCGTGTGCCTTATTCACACCGGACAAAAGGCTGATAAGCACTTTGGTCAAGCGTGCATAAAACATGTCGCAAACGGACTGTTTCATACCAGGCTCATCGATACCGATGTTCTGTGACATACCCAGGCATCCGTATGTTTCAGCCTCGGAAAGGGTTCTTAAGTTGACGGGCATAGATAAGTCTATGCCCTCAGAGTTAGCAACCCTTCCCTTTTCAACGTAGAGGACCGCACACTTATCCGTCCCCAGCTCCATTCCAATGGAATTGCTAAATTCACAAGTGATATTTAACAATTCCATAAGATGGGATCGACTGGAGACGAATAACTTGAGGTCATCCATATAGAAAAGGTGGGTCACTTTTGTCCCTCCTTTCCGTAGCTGAAATCCCCTCCCGGAGCCCTCTAGTAAGGTACTGAGAGGGATCAGAGAGAGGCAGAACCAGATTGGACTCAGACAATCGCACTGGAAGATAGCCCTTCTTATCCTTATTTGGTTATCCGCAGCCATCATCCGCTCGCCCAGATGACAAAGGATCGTACTCCACTGCCCCATACACTGCTCGAGGAAGTCTCTAACTGTACAGTCTATCTTGTACAGCTCAAGGACTCTCTTTAGCCATGTAGGGGCACCGAGTCGAATGCCTTTCTGTAGTTTATCCAGGCGGCGGAGAAGTTGCGACGGTTGCGTTTCACCACTTTGCCAATGACCGTGTCAATGAGGAGTGGTTCCTTGGTTCTACGACCACCGCCCCGACATCCATTTTGAGTGCGCGACATCACCTGATTTGAATCCAAGTGACCAGTGATTCTCGCGCTCAAAATGGATATTAGTGTCTTATATATGGTCGTTAGACACGTGATGGGGCAGTATTTGCTCGGGTCTGTGGTACCCTGGTCTTTAGGAACCAAATGGGTGATCCCAGTAGTGAAGAGGCTCGGGAGCGACTTCTGGTTGAGAGCCTCTTGAAACTGTCGGGCGAGCACAGTGTGACACACCACGAACCCCTTCAGCCAGTAGTGATGCAGCCCGTCAAGCCCCGGACTTTTCCAGTTCGGGGCCCTACGGACCGCCTCAGCTACGTCATCCGGTGTTATGATGACGGGGTCCATAGGCGTTATACTCGCACACTGACTCGCCACAACTTCCGTCCAAGGGCCCTTGCTGTGGTTTACGGGCTCTGACCACAGGCCGCGCCAGAATGCTCCAGTGTCGGCCGGATTCGGTGCTGAGCCCTTTCCACTTACCATTAGTCGCTCCAAAAATTCATACAGTCTCTTCAGATCACTTTGGAAGAGACGATTCTGGTTGAACCGTGTCAACATCTCGGTATATCGCCGAATCAGCTTTCCCCATGCAGCGATTCTCTGCTTCAGATCATCTATGCGCTCCGTCAGTTTTTGCGTTATATCCGGCTGAGACAAACTGACATTTGTCCCAGCAAACGCCATCCTGACGGTGCGCACAATTCTTGGCCTATTATTGCCTGATCTGAAGCATATCAGTCTGCCGATGAGAGCTCTAGCCTTTGCGATACGTTCTTCAATTCTTCTTCTCCATGCTAGGATAGCGCTAACTTGGCTAGTAGCGCGTCCAACCGTGGAAACCCTGGCGCCTATGATTCGGCAGACTGCCAGCGCGGCGCAAAAAGAATTGAGTCCGTCCGGTGTTCAGCATTGGATTCAGAGCCCTCACGACAGCCCGATTCCGCTTGCTTAGGGCTATGCGGGGAAGTCTCGGTCGATTTTCGAGAGGCGAAGTGCGCGTTTCCACGATTGCCTCTTCCAATGTACTCCTCATATGCTCTAATTTCAGTTCCAAGGCGACTGTTCCATCATCGTTTGAACCAACCACAACTGGGGTATTCACGGAGGCATCCACGTTTGCGGGTTGCTCTACCATTTGTGGCGCTGCATCCTCAGCCGTACCATTTTCATCCGATGAGGGAACAGCCTCACGTCGTAGCCGTTCGAGTTCGGCGACATCAAATATATTCGAGCGTAAGATATACCGGACTCGGTCTGCCAGGTTTTGCTCTGTGATGATTAAAGATGGCTCCAGCTCAGCAAAAAGACGATGCATCCTAACCCGATGCGCCAAACATACAGTTTCTTCCCCTCTTGCCCTAAAGTACGCCCGCAGTGCGTTTGCATTCATTGTTTGTGACCAACGCATGCGACGTGCTCCACCAGTGTCGGGTGCCGCTTGCTGAGTCCGAGACGGCCTAGCCGACACCAAGCCTTCTGGTAAGGATGATGGATGCGGAGGGCTGCTAGGTGACCGTGCAGCTCCTCGCGCTTGGCTGGCGGCCCGCATGCTGCCGCGTCCGGCGCCAGCTCCAGACGCGCCCTGGCGACCCCCAAGTAGCGGCCCTATGCGCGTGCCATCATCCATTTTATGGGCGCCAAATAACGGGAGACGCCCAAGCCCGGCACCGTTTCGCGGTTCGGTCATATGCACAAACGGACCTTTGCACCCACAATTTTGCCTAGGCACGGCCTCTTGGCGGGCTGCTAACTGACTGCGCCGAAGTAGCAGTTTTGTCACATAACTGTTACGTCCGCGGACGATGGGTTCATCACTTCCCTACGCCTTAAGGCGTAAGCCTTAATTTTTGCTTAATTAATAATAATAATAATAATTATTATTATTATTTTTATTAAGCAAAAATTGTTTTGTAAGGGTTATTATACTACTGAAGAGTACATGATTGATAATAACCCCTGGAAATGTGATGATCGCTACCGTGCTGTTTCTAAATGTTTTCATAACACTTGTTTAAAATATCATATTGTAAGTAGTGTTTTCAAAACTAAAGTACCGTTGTGTTTCTTTCTGGTTCTCCCCAAGACAGGTCTTTTCCGAACCAGTGGTAAAAGTAAAAAAGGACTTGCAATAAGTACTACACGTAATCTATATTGAATAAACTGATTATATTCTATTTTATTCTATTCATATATATCAATATAAAATATTAACTGTCAAATAATAGCAGTGCATTAAAAGGTGAAGAGACAGAAAAATCATCCAAAATCCTAAATATGGCTTAATGGAGTACTTTTATCTACCGGCAAATGTACGTTATAGAGCGGAATAAAATTTTATCTACTCTCCCTCTCCTCCTCCGGGTAGACGTCACCCTTCATACGTCAGAAAGTGTTGAAAGTAAAAAAAGCAAAGTACAACCTATACGTTGAATAAACTAAATTTCGGATTTTATGGTTTATTTCACTACTTTTACACTCTTTAATCCCGACGTTTCGGACGTGTTACAGCAACCATGGTCACGGAGTGGGGCTTAAAAGTAATGTGAAAATTGAAAATAAATGCGATACAAATCCGTAAATTTAGGTTTTATTCATTATGTGTAGTGTTCGCGTAAATTTAAGAAATCATTATGTGAACCTATATACGTCTCACTGCTGGGCACAGGCCTCCCCCTCATTACTAAGAGGGTTTTGGGGCAAGGAACTGTCCGCCATGCTGCCCTAATGCATATTGGCGAACTTCACATGTCCTAGAGTTATTTTTTTTCTTATTCCTCAGACATACAAGTTTCCTCACAATGTTTTCCGTCACCGCCTAGCGCGTGATAAATCAACACTTAAAATTGCAATTAACAATTTCATTGGTGCCGGCGGGTATTGAACCCGGGTTACTCGCGTTCTTTTATATTTACAGCGAGTGTTAACCATCTGAGCTACCACGGCTCTGATCCGAAAAGTCCTGAAGGGCGATTTTTTTTTTAGTTTTAACGAAAACCTTACACGATGCATGAAGTTTGCTGGTACGAAATGATTCTTGATAAATTTACTATCAACCTATTTTGATTATTTATGATTATTATGCTTTTATTAAGATTCGGCCAATCAGCAAAATATAGCAAAAAAAAATAGATAAATGATACTTATGTTCATATTTCGTGGCAGATTGCGCGGCAACTATAAATTATATCGCTTTTGTATGTGTAAGAGGGTGATAGCAAATTTATTAAAGATTATTTTGCACCTACCCACTTTTCAAGTGTCGTTTACTGTTTGATAACTCGAAAATACCTGATTCTGGCGCGTGGGGGTGACGCTTACTCGGAAAGGGGAGAGCGAGTGGATAAAATGTGCAGTTATATTTTATCCACACGCCCTCTCTTTAAACGTACATATGCCGATATATAAAATTATTCTATTAATTTTGCCAGTTCTTAAGCTAAAATGATTGAACTAACCTCGATCATAGAAGCGTTCATTGATGGTTTCTCTCGATTCTCATCGAGCGGCTTGAGTTCATGCGTCGCGTCGTTCGTGCGCCGAGCTGAGTGTTGGATTATTTTAAATTTTCATTATCCCTTAAAGTATGCGTCCAAATAACATGCAATAAACCGCAAAGTTTATCATCCTAAAAATGTCTTAATAACGTAGTAACTTTCGTTCGTAGGGATTAATATGCCATGCCTAATAATAACGCTTATAAATCACATTTTAATTTTCAATAATTTTTGTCACAAAATACCTTATTGAGGCTTATGTATAAAAAGAAGGCATATGGTATTTCGGACTTTTTCAAATGAAATAACGATCTGTATTTTTGTAGAATATTGTATTTACGTATCACTAACTATTACGCCAGCGCATGTGGTTAAACCATTTCGGAAGCGCTCTATGTTCTGACTTGCTTAACAAAAACCAATATTTTAGGATAGCTAATGTTAGATAGTCTGTATTGTTCCTCATGAACTGGCTATAATATACAAAATAATTTTTCGAATTAGACTGGTAGTTCCATAGATTAGCGACAAACAAAAAAAGCAAAAAAACTTTTCCGCTTTATTATATTAGTATAGATATTGTTTTTAAAACCTTATAGTAAATGACTACCGTAGCTCATGGATAATTATTGCAAATAACATAAAACAGAAACGAATGAAGTAAAGATGTAACATATCATACGCAGACAAACAAACAAAGTTTAAAAAAATGGTTAGTTATGTCTTAATAGCGTGCAAACAAATCGTTGAGCTTAACAGAATTCATTTATTTCGATATTAAATACTGATATGACTATTTTATTTATACGTATAAAGATTAACACTTAATAACTAATGACACTTATTAATTTAGGAATTGAAATTCATAAGTCTAAATCAAAATTATTTCGCTAAAAGCTGTAGTCAAGTAAGTAGTTTGGCGTAATGCTTTGTGGCAATATTATGTTCGGGCGTCCTGTAACCAGCAGTGGACTTGTTAGTTTGAATCACAACAACTTTCGCTGCTATATATTATGTCGTACAATTTTTTATTTGAGCAAATCTGCGAATTAAAAATGACACTTGCTTCCAACATTTCATTATTGTTTAATCAGCCCATTGTGCGTGAGTCGTAAAACGGAAAAGTCATGCAGTTACTATTCTTTGTCTTTTATGTTGACTGTACGAATACGAATGCCGCAATTTAGCTGTATTGTTAGGTTGTAGCGTAACTAGCCGTACTTATCTAAGCATTCGGTACAGTAAACTTTGAATAAAGGAAAAGTCACGGTCGAAATAATTTATTTTATCAACTTGTAATTATTAAAAAAGCACCAGTTACTTGAATCCACCGTGTCGTTAATACATTCTTGGAGTTATGTATACTTTTTTAAACTTCCGTATCATATTATTTAAAATTTGACCTGCACAAAGTTCAATGACTTTATTAAACTAAGTTTGTATAATTTTTGATTCCCCTGAGAAAGGTAATCGCTACCAAGCTATCTCTGTTTGTGTTTTGAATTATAACATACATGATCGTAAGCTGTTTTTTTTTAAGTCCTGCTGGGTTTCTGGCTGGTTCTTCGCAGGACATAGGTTTTTTCCGAACCAGTGGTAAATTAAGAAAAGTGACTTTCAATAAGTATTATTTATAATCTATTTTGAAACAGTTTAACTGTTTCTGTTTCTTTACTTTTCTATACTTTTAAAATTGTAACCAGTATATATTTCTTTCTTTGGAAAACTTAATCAGTAATGAAGGCATGAAGGCTGGATTATGTTATGTCCTACTGTCAAAACTTATATATCTATGTCTTAGTAGCTTATGATAAAAGAAAGTAAATTCAAACATAATGTATAGACACATAAAGCCAACATATTCGTTTGGTTTTTTTGTTTAAATTCAAAGCATATATTTAAAATAAATAATCTTCTGTGAGTATCAATATATTCTGTACGTTATGATTTCTTATATTTACGCGAACACTACACACCACTCAGTCACCCGAAACGTCGGGAATTAAAAATAAAAATAATTAAAATAATAAATCGCGATAAAATCCGTAAAAGTACTTTTAATCAATATTTTGTACGTTGTTCAAAACATTGACGTAAGTGGTTTCATTAATTAATTTATTAAACACCTGGGAAGATTTTTCACTTAAGACTAACTCGTACGTAACGTGATTTTGCACACTTATTATTTATGCCATAACCCGCTAGCTCAGAAAGAACAGCAAACAGTTAAAACATTTTGTTGGGTCTGAAAATGGGAGTTGTCCAATGAGGAATATCCAGCAAATATGCATTCCATGTGTCCATTCTAGGTGATTCAAAACATCCCATCCAATCTCTAAAATGTAGGCAGTAAAGATATACATACTCGTATAATGAACATTCTTCATGATCGGACAGGCTTCCCGATTGAGGTGCATTATCAAGAGAAATATTCCTGTTTTAAATTTCGTAAACGACTTTTGACACGTAGTTAATGCACCATCGCAATTATACATCACATTTCATTGATTGAGTGTGTATGTTCTCGTTTGGGTTTAGCGCTGAGCCAACATAGGTACTTAAATCTCGTTGAAAGGTAAAAAAATTATGTTGCAGAAATAAATAGTAGCGTCGGCAAGTGTTGCCCTAGACGTTGATCGTCCAAATTGACAAAATGTTGAAGATGGACCACATTGAGAGCATCCTTAATTGACGAACATGTATGCTTGAAAGTGAAAGTCCATAGTGCCTTATGATTAACAGGCGTGAATATTTATGTTTATATGTATGTAGAATTCCGTAATTGGGATATGTAAAAAGAATAAAGGAGGAAAGTGTGACAAAGCAAATGTATGCTGCATGAGTGAACGACTTAGTTGGTAAGGCACACCTTTTACGGAAGGTTAAAGAACAAATTGGCAATATATTGAAAATGACCCCAATTAAGAGTACCTTTAGTGGACGAGCATGTGTGTATATATCGGGCCGTATATAGCATTTTTATTAAAATATTGGTAAATAGTATCGATGTATTTATAAATGACTGTTAAGGACTCGTTGTAGCTCTGTGCTTTTAATATGACACTCCTTACAACTCCCGCGGAATAAAACAGAGCAAATATAAATAACCTAATATATTTTGCGTGCAAACAGGTAAAGCTAAAGCGAAAATTCCCTTATTATAATATAATGATAATAAGAATATATAAAATGA